AAAGAGGTTCTAGTTCCTCTTGTGTGACTTCTCCAAACAGGTTAAGGCAGACTTTGTTTTCCTGGGAGCCGGAGACCAGGGTCCTGCACTGAGAATGTGGGCTGCTGTGGGCAAGCTGCCAAGGTGGGGACCAGGCAAGGAAAAGCACCACAGCTTGTCTTACCATTTTAAGGTTTCCTTTTTTCTGCACTCAACATTTACTTGGTTACTATAAACTTTTGTTTTCCAGAATACAATACAAATTGCCTTCTAACAGTCTCTGGTTGCCTTTTCTAGGTTTCTCTGGAAGGATGGATGTTTGGACTGTCTGATTCACCATGTTGCTGAAATCATTCTATAAATATATTTTTGAATTATAAATATATGAAGAGAACTTCCTTACTCTAAGAAAATATTATTTCCTTACTGTGGCATTTCTAAACCTGAGTTAGTGACTGAAGGATATTAATTCTGCTGTCTCAAAGATTATCTTGATGAAATAATCTGAAGTGTATGAGAGACTCTGGAAAGCTATACAGAAACAAGCCTGTTTTATGTTATTTTAATCAAGAATTTTCCAAATGTATCTCACTGTTAGATCCTTTCTAACTGGTAATACAGATCAGCATTTAAAGAGTACTTGTCACTAGGTTAAAATGAGAAAAAAAAAGGGGGCTGGGGAGATGGCTCAGTGGAATAAGTGCTTCCCTGGCAAGTGCAAGGGCCTGAGTTCAATCCCCAGCTCCGCAAAAAAAAGGAGAAAAAATGGCCACAGTTCTTCAAAACTTGAACGTTATGATTTTTTCATAGTTGTCATGACCATAGTTTTGAGGCACAGAGTGGGTATGACTACTACTATCTGAGAATGAATAGAAGCCCCCTCCTTTCAGAATTCTAAGGTAAACATCTGGAAATACACAAGGGTAAGCTGCTGTGGGCAGGCTGCCAAGGTGGGGACCAGGCAAGGAAAAGGCCATGCAAGCTGTACACTTAGCTGACTGCTAAGTGTTCAGGAAGGCATCTTTGCTCAGACATGGAGCAGCGGAGTGGAGGCAGGTCCTGTAACAGCCTGCTGGGTGACCTCTGTGGCCAGGAAAGTGCTTTGCAAAAGAGTAAGCAAGTTTGGGGACAAAACACAATGAATGGTAAAGGTAACCGCAGTGGATGGTTTCATGGGGAGCAGGTGTAAGAGGAGCGGTGGGTAGAGGCTGGTGCTGCTCCTTGCCCCACCCAGCTCGAGCACCTAAGAACAGAGGGAGGCTTCTTTTGCAGGTCTGTACAATCATTGTTTTGCCTTCCGGACTGTAGACCCTTCCTTCTAGGGCTAAAACAGAATCTGACACACTTTGTCTCCATGTAACCAACAAAGCATATGAAGGGGAAGAAAGAATACGCCATGTAAGTAATGAGCCAGTTTTATTCTTTAGTCTGAAAGAATGGAGAAAAACATGACCTGTTCAAAAACTAAAACCAACCAACTTTTACATTTAGATCATTTTTATTAGAATTATTAGAGAGGCTATCATTTATCTAGCTGGCTAGACATCCACATGGACAAAGTTCTGACTGGCCAAATAAAAAATGCTCAAGGCTGATGGAATTCCTGTATTCTACTATCGTTCTGGGAAGAAACTAGAATTTTATATCTAAAATTCTATCTTGTCATTGTCAATATGTCAGTTCTTCTCACTTGATCTCTGGATTTGGTGCAAACCCAATAAAACCCTGTAAGGTTATTTTAAGGATCTTAACAAACTAATCTTAAAGTTTGTAAACAGTAAAAGGCCCAGAATAGCCAGTACGATATTGAAAGACCAAAGTCAAAGGCTGACATTACCCAGCTTCAAGAACTACAAAGATATAGTCATTAAGACCCTGGTACTAAAACAAAACAAAACAAAACAAAACAAAACAAAACAAAACAAAACAAAACAAAACAAAACAAGACCCTGGTATTGGTGAAAGAACAGACAAATGAGTCCAGTAGAACTACTGAGCCCAGAAATGGTCCTACACAGATACAGCTGACTGATGTCTGACAAATGAATAAATGCAATACAATACAAAAAAATAGCCATTTCAATAAATGCTAACCTGGACATCCACATGCAAAAATACGAATTTATACAGACTAACATCTTTTATAAAAATTAACTCAGAATGGATGACAGACTGTTATCAGTCACTTTCCTACCAGTGGAACAAAATACATAACACCCATAACCTAGGGGAGGGTGCTCAGCTCTCAGTCTTCAGAGCATTCGGTCCCCAGCTGGCTAGCAGCCAGGAAGGGCACAGGAGAAGGGCGCTGTGGAGGACCTGCTCACCCAGCAGCCCGGAAGCAGAGAGACAGGAGGACCCGGGGGCAGAAAGCCACCCTTGCAGGTCACACCCGGTGACTCACTCCACTCGGGATGCACCTCCTAACCACACTGAGCCATAAGTCCACAGGTGGACTAAGCTGCTGCTGAGGACAGCACCCCTGGTCCAGTCATCCTACAAATGAGACTTCTGGGGGACATTTTAGATCAAAACTTAACATAGATCTAAATGTAAAACATAAACTCCTAGAAAAATAATACAGGAGAAAGCCCAGATAACCTTGGGGTTGGCAGTGACTCAAAATATAACACCAAAGGCAGAATACATGAAAGAAACAGTTGATAAGCCAGATTTCAATAAAGATAAAACTTCTACTCTGGGTGGTCAGAGCTCAGCAGACTACAGCGCCTGCTTAGACAGGTGCAGGGACCAGGCTTTGATCCGAGGAGTGCCGGGTTAGCCCTGTCCCCCAGGTGCACTGAGACTGCGACTAAAACTGAGTGTGGTGATGCGTGCCTGTAATCCCAGTGCTTGGGTGGCTGAAAATAGGAGGATCATTACGAATCTGATCTGTGTAATGAGACCCTGTAGATCCTGTAAAAAAAAAAAAACTAAGACACTATTAAGAGAGTAAAAAGACCATCCAGAAATTGGTATAACATATTTGCAAAAGATCTACTTGACAAATGATTGCTACATTCACAAAGGACATTTAGAATTCAATAATCACAAATAATCTAGTTTTTAAAAAATGAACGAAAGACCTGAACCAGTGAAGATACACAGATAACAGGTATGTGAGCGGAAGTTCAGCACTGTGTGTCACCAGTGAACTGCAAATGAGAGCCGCTGGGTACCAACACACTATAAGAGGGGAAAAATCCAGAAGACCTGAACACCTGACACTGGCGAGGTGTGGAGCAACAGCAACTCTCAGTCATCACTGCAGGGAACACAAAGGTGCAGGACACAGTGGCAGCCTTGTAAAACCAGGTGCGTGCTTACACACAGAAAAGCAGTCGCGTCACATGTTTATCCAGATGACTATTTATGTCCACACGTAAACCAGCCACAGTATTTATAGCAGCTTTTTTCGTAATTTCCCAAAACTAGGGAACAACCTAGGCATTCTTCAGGTGAGTGGGTAAACTACTAAACACCCAGACAATGGAATGATTAATTCAGTATCTAAAGAGGAACTGGTTACCAAGTTGGGAACAGATACAGGGAGGAGCCATAAGTAGGTAGCACTGAGTCAAGCCAGTAAGGGCGGGCAGTCCACCATGGTTCTAGTGATACGCCACTCTAGAGAAAATCAAACTATAGAGACAGTAAAAAGGCCAGTGGCCAGCAGCAAATGTGGGCACAGGAAGGATGAACAGGACGCAGAGGATTTTTAGGGCAGTGGAGCCACTGTGCATGATACTACTGTAGTGGTGGTTACAGCCACTGTCCTATGTCTAGAATGCACATAAGCAGTGAATCCTGCCATAAACTTGGACTCTGGGAGATGATGGTGCGTCCATGTGGAGTTGGAGGTTGTGGTAAATGTCCCACTTTGATGTGGGACGATGACAGTGGCCAACACTATGCTCGTATGGGGGTGGGAGCATATGGGGAATCTACTTTCTTCTTCATTTTGCTGTGAACCTAAAAATGTATTTAAAGCCGAAACAGTGGCATCCTGCAGATGGGATCAAGAGTACCAGAAGGGGGGCTGGCAAGATAGCTCAGCGGACTAAAGCTCCTGCTTAGGCAAGCGCAGAGACCGCAGTTTGATCCTCAGCACCACATGCCATGCCAGCCCTGCCCCCCGGGCCTGCTGAGCTGGCCAGAGTGCAGGCAGAGTGGCGCACACCTGGAATCCTAGTGCTGAGGAGGCTGAAAATGGGAGGATTACTATCTGTCCGAGATGCATAGTGAGACTCTGCATAATAAACTACCTTTTTTAAAAAAGTACCAGAAGGGTATTCTGGATTTAAGTGCTGTTTTGTACAGTGTGACTAGAAGGCCCGCCACAGCTGCCGTCAGGACTTCTCCACAGTGGCAAAGCGTCCCCATCAGTGGACACTTCCTGCCTGGTTGGCTTAGTGTAGCTGGGTCTGAACCTCACAGCTCTGCTGTAAGCTGAGTGGTTTTCTGCATTAGTGATGCAAGAGCACATGGATCAGAGTTTTGCAAAGCATCAAACATAATAAAGTACCACATGGAATTATTTAACTGTATTTAAGGAGGATCCCGGAGAGTGCTGGATAGGAGGCATGAGTACACCTTGCCCCTCACAGGTCGGTTCCTGACTGTGAGGCGATGCTGATGTGGGCCCATGGCCTGCACACAAGACAAGCAGCCTAGAGCAGGGAGGCGATGAGAGGCGAGAGATCCCCATCCCATAGCTGTCGTTCTGCATGCAGCACGCAGCGGGCTAGGAGGGATCAAAGCTGCAGAGACATCCGTCTATACATCAGGACATAACGCAGCCAGCCAGCCAGCAGGACAAAGTGCACAGCTCCCAGGTGACTTTTGGCTAAACAGATGACGGAATGCACAAGTGGTTCCTACACTACAGCCACCCCCAGGCAGAAGCCTCTTTTGTTTCCAAGTCCCGACTACAGCACCTCCTCGTTTCCCAAGGCCTACACAGGAAGTCTGGGAGAGCAACACCTCAAGAGTTCACTGTACATGACAGTCTATAATGGCACTAAATGTTAAAGCAGAAATTTATTAAAATCCATTTATACAGTGTTTTACACCCCTCCCCCCCAATGCAGAGTCCTCAACATTCAGGCAATCAACTCAGTTCTTAGAGCTGCTTCATAAGAAAAGGGGATTTCTCTGCTTTCCCCAAGAAGGTATCTGTTTATATTCCTGAAAACGCTGCATTTAATCATACCACCTTCATAAGAACAATCCCTTTGAGGTCTCAAAACCTTGCAGAGAGTGAAGAGATAAGCACAGGACCTTCTCCCAAATGCAGTGCCTCATGACAGAGGTGTAGTGCAAGAGCTACATGGAACAGCCGCCTCTTCCAAGGTGCACAGGTGCCGGCGGGCAGGCTGTGGAAAGAGCAGGCCCTAGCTGCGGAGTGTGGCCAGCCGGGACTGCATGGCCTCCAGGGCCTCTTCCTCCTCTTCATCCTCAGAGGCAGCCATGGCTCCCAAAGGTTCAGGCTCAGGAAGGGCATCGGTCACTTTACTGGGTGCTTTGCCTAAGGCTCCTGAACAGAATGAGAAGGAGCAGATTACCAACACAGCGCTGAAGGAACGGCTCCCTCAACCTGCCCTGTTTCTCATTCCTGGGAGAACTTGACAAGATACAAAGCTGGACGGTGAACAAGCTGTTTTGGGGGCGTTTTGCTTACTATGATATGGGCACAAAGCAACTTGTCACAATATCCAAGTTCTAATACATTTTTTGGAGGTAGGATTCTCACTGTGTTCCCCAGGCTGGTGTGTTAAGCGCCTGGCGTAAGGGATCCTCCTCCCTCAGCCTCCTGAGTAGTGTGTGCCACTGCAGCAGGCTCAAAGTCACAGTACATAATTGTGAGGATTTCACAGATCCTGATTCTATCAGGCATGGTGACACATGCATAGGTGCAGCTACCTGGGAAACAGGACAAAGGAGTGCTTGAGCTCAGGAATTCAGGACCAACCTACGCAACGTAGCAAGACCGCATCTCCAAAACAAAAAGGACTTGATTCTAAAACTCCTCCATTCGTAAGTACTGCTGATCACTTAATTTTAATCTCTGAGTAAAACACTGTTTCTCAATCTTTACGAAAAATATTTTTGGAATATCTGTTCTTTATCTCAACAACTAAAAAATGTGAACAAATAAAAATTAAATTCTACCATTTTTATGAGTACCTTCACTATGGAGCCATGATGTATGACTCCCTGCCGGGCAACTTAAACCATCAGTGGTCCATACATGATTGTCCCTCTGGGCACCTTTTTATTATTATTGTTTTTACACAGAAATGTGTAGAAGGCTTTTTTCATATGATATATTGTTGACATCTTTTCATGTCAATGAATATAATTCTGTATTGGCTACACAGTATACTATTAAAATAGACACAGCACAGCTAATTTGATCAGTATTTCAGTATTAAGCATTTACTTTGATACAAAATTTTCAGTATTATAAATGATCCCACTATCCTGAGTCTTTCAGCACACCTTCTTTATTATAGCAAACGACTAGGAGAAGTCAATCTGCTAGCACAAGGGCTTCCACAGCTCCTGCTGGACTGCTCTCCAGGAAGTCTATGCCAGCTTAAAATCCCAACGGCAGTGCATGAAAGTAATACTCCCTATCATCATCTGAAAACTCTAGAAGACACCTATACTAAGCTTATTTCTTTTTATTTATTTATTTATTTGTGTGTGTGTGGCCAGCTCAGCCCACCAGGGGGCGGGGCTGGCTGGCATGTGGTGCTGGGGGATTGAACCGCGGTCCCTGTGCTTTGCTAAGTAGGTGCTTTAGACCACTGAGCCATCTCACCAGCCCCCTAAGCTTATTTCTTAAGAAATAACTTGCATACTCTAAAATTTGAAAATGGCAGAGAGGTATACACTCAACACTAAAACGACTGGCGACTTCAGTAAATGCAGAAGGGCCCACAAAAGGAAGAAAGATGAACCTAATGGTCATACCTGCTGTAATTTCAAAGAGGATTTTGTCAATTTCTGTCTCAGCTTCTTCTTCCATTTCTTCTTGATCATCCATGCTTTCAAAAGTGTCCTCTAACATCTCTTCTATGATCCCAGCCTGAACACAGAAGAAACATCACGCCCCTTGACTACTAAATATGCTTACATGAGGCATTCCTGCACCCTGGCGAGGAGAAGCTCATCTCTGCGACTCCAGGCCACCCTTCCAGGATGATACCCAAGACAGGTGGTCAGAGGAAATACTGCGTACAGCCCTCTTGAATGGCCCTCTGGCTCGGCTGTAAGGTTGGGTAAGACATAAATCTAGAAGAGCACTCTATTCTTCTCATTTTCAGACATTTCCTTCTAATCAAAATTATCAAATAAATTCATATTCATAGCCATCCACGTGGATCCTTATGGCCTAGCTGAATGTAAGTAAAAGGTTCAATAAATATTTATGAAAAGAGCCCAACTGTAATAACCCTTCACACTGTAGCAGTAGAAGTGAGCATGCATCTATTTAGGCATTCAGTCAACAAGTATTCATCAACTTCCTTCTCCTTGTCCCCTAGGGCAGGCACTGGGCCTAAATGGAATCACTAAGACTGAGTTCCTGCTCATGAGGAGCCGGGCCCACAGGAGGCTTCAGCGTGCCCCGGGGCTGCACCACAGTAATTCTGCTGCATTACTGTCAGTCTCCAGAAGCAGTTTTACAGTGTGGTCATCTGTGTTCCACAAATATTTTCCCTACTATATGAGTTAAAATGAGCAGGGCTCAAGTCCTCCAAAGAGAATCCAGTTCTCAGTGAATCATCATCATCGACCTGGGTACGCACTTCATTAAAGAATGCACTCCAGGGCTGGCAAGATAGCTTGGCAGACTAGGCGCCTACTTAGGCAAGCACAGCGATGGGGGTTTGATCCCCAGCACCACATGTTGCACCTGTCCCACCCTGGTGGCACACACCTGTAATCCCAGCACTGGGGAGGCTGAAAACAGGAGGATCACTACATGTCCAAGTTGTGCAGTGAGACCCTGCACCAGATACATAAAAAAAAAAAAAGAAAGAAACAAAGAACAGAACAGAGCAGAACATACTCTACAGGCCGGCTCCAGTCCTGGGGATGGCAGGGATCTGTGTGCTTGCTATATGGCTCTCAGGCTCTTGCTCCCTTCTTCCCCACTCTCTTTTTGAGACAGGATCTCTCTAGGCTGGCTTTCAACTTGGGATGCTTTCACTTCAGCCACCCAAGTGCTGGAATTACAAGTGTGCTGCCACTTTTCTGACCTTGTTTCCTCCCCACTGTTGCTGTCCAAGAAGTTCGCATTCCAGAGATTTAGGCCATGGACTTTTTATGTTGTTCTACATTTCTATCAATTTTCTTCTGAAGCCCCTTTCTCCCATACCCCACTCTCTATAATAATTCAAGTTTACAAATGACATTCCCTGCAGGTGACAGTCAGGCAAGAGTCAGCACTAGAGCGTGAGGTATACACTTTTGGTTGTCAGGCCCTGGAACTGAAGCATGAATGACACCCACGTGAACGCCTCCCTTCCCACTTCCTCCATGGCAGTTCACGCCAAAGGTCAGACACACCTGTGCTCCAGCTGGTCACCTTCAACCCAGGTGAACTTGTTAATCTGCCTGTTATCTTAGAGACTCAGTTTCCTTCTGAGTGAAAAGGGGATAAAAATGGCTGAGAACTGGGCAGGGCCACCCGTGCCATGTGCCATCAGCTGCAGGGCTCAGTAACAGGGCTGATGTCCTGCCTGTCTGAAGACCATTGGTACTGATCCAGACCCTGATCCTGAGGGCGGCAGGCATTATGCGTGTTTTACTTGGTTCTTAGTTGCTCCTTCCTTTTGGGGGTGGGGTGGGTGGTGGGAACAAGATCTCACTATGTAGTCCAGGCTGGCTTTGGACTAGTGACCCTCCTGTTTTACCTACCCAAATGCTAGAACTATAGGTGTGCTACCACCACAATTGGTTTCACTCTTCTTTTTTATAGTTTAAAACAGGTCAGCAAACTACAGCCTACATAGCCAAGTGTGACCCGCTGCCTACTTCTGTAAAGTTCTATGAGAACACAGTCATGCTCACTTGTTCAAGTATTATCTGTAGCTGGCTTTATACTCTATCAGGTAGACTTGTGTGGTCACAACACACATAAAGGCCACACAGCACAAAATGTACTTAGTATCTAGCATTATACAGAACAGGCTTGCCAATCCCTGGTGTAGACCAACTTTTCTTGCCAGTTTCACTGACACTCCTCTGGGACAGAGGAACCTTGCAACCAAGGTTTCTTTCTTCTTCTTGCTTGGAGTGGCACTTGCAAACCTTGAGCCCTAAAGGCTCCTTGGGTTCACTCTGCTCTCCCCAGCTCTGGGTATGTATTTGGGAATGTCTAGCAGTCCCTCCCAGCCTCTGCTACACTCTAGGTAAAAATTATTTCAACCAGAGTTAACATCCACTCCCATTTGCGAGCCATTCCCATTCACCCAGCCCCACCATTCCTGAGAGGGACTCAGTGGTTTGGCAGGGCACAGGCACAGCTCAGGTCACCTTCATCATCTCTTTGGACAGCTCCCGCATGGTGGCCTGGATTTCTGGGATCTTCACAAGACTCTGCATGGCCTTCATCACATCTGTGCTCTTCTGCAGGGACCCGGCCACTCGCAGGACCGCTGAAAGGGGAAACAATTGTTCAGTGGGCTGGAACAAGGAGAGAGACATCAACTCCTGCAACAGGGAGCAGCAGCAGGAGTACTCCACATTCACCAGTGCAACCTTCAGAACAGGTCTTTGTGCTAGACAACCAAGAGCTGACTTTTCTAAATTGTGTGCCACCAGGCTACTGTTGGAAGAATTTCCTGAGCATCCACAGCAATGAGCCATCTGGACTGTGCCTGGCCTGCGGCTGACCTTCAGGGAAGGATGCCAACTCAGTAAGTGACACCAAGGGACATGAGTCAGAGGAACACTTGGCTCTTGACCTTGTAGGGGCCACATTAGAAAAGAAGCCTTTTGCTATCCAAGTAAGAGCTCAGTAAGCTTCCCAGCCAGCACCTACAGAGGGAGTACTTGGCCCTGCTCAACAGGCTGGGGAGAAGTGGTCCAGCTCGATTCTGCTCACCTGAAATCTTCTCACCCGATAGCCCTACAGGTTCATGTGGGAGCACTGGATGCTGTCCTACCCCAGCTGGACAGCAATGACCCCACCAAACTTTGGAGCCCCACTTAAGCATACCCCAGACCAAGAGCCAAGCACAGGTCACTGAGTATTGGTGAAGCAGGGTCTCTGGCTCTGCCCTCTGCACAGCCAAACCGCAACTCCAGAGACCACACCCAACCTTGGAGCCTGGTGTGGTTTAGATCTGAAATCTTTCTCCACACCCGCGTGAGTTCAGAGGCTTCTGAAATGTGGATGGATCACAACGCAGAGCTGACCTGCTCTCAGGAGGCAGAGCCTGGCTGGGGGAGGCCAGTGGGGTGTAACCTGGAAGCATATTCTTATCCCTGGCTACTTTTCTGTTTCCACAGGGTTGAACAGCTTTCCTTTCTACTCTTTCTACCAGGGCCACTTCTGCTTTGGACTCAGCTGACCATGGACTCAAACTGTAAGACAAAATAAGCATCTGTTCTTAAGCTGCAGGTGGCAGGTGTTGTGTCTCAGTAATAGTGAAGTGACTAAGCCTGGCCCAACTACAACTTCCAAGCAACAACAGCACAGAGCTAGGAAAGCTGGCCTGCAATGCAGAGCGCAGCCAGGAGCCTTCACTGCAGGGTCCAGCCAGCGGATTCAGTGAACCACACTGTGCAGTCAGTATTCTACTCAACCTCAGAGCACAGTGATCTGGTGCAACCAAAGAACTCAAGATCTCTCAGTGCTGGCGCTACCTGCCAGTCACCCAGGATCTCCAGCCAAACTGCGCAGGTCTATCGCTACCAAAGTCTGGCAGAAGAGGTGGCTGTTTCCTAAAATGTGCAGGTATCAACATAAGGACAAAAGAAATGTGAGAAACAAAGGAAGACCCCAAAAGAAACAAAGTCCCACTAATAGTATCAGAAGTAATTGAGATCTATTAAATGACAACAAATTCACAAACATCCTCATAAAGAAGTTCAGAGAACTCTAAGAAAATATGGAGAGAAGAATTAAATGAAATTTAGACAACAATTAATGAACAAAATGGGAAGTTTCATACAGAAACAAAACAATAAAAAGAAACTCTTCAGATAAAGAATACAATAAAAACACTGAGGGCCGGGGACATAGCTAGGTAGAATAAGAGCTTGCCTGGCAAGTGCAAGGTCCTGGAGTTCAATCCCTAGTACCGCAAAAAAAAAAAAAAAAAAAAAAAAAAAAAAAAAAAAAAAAAAAAAAAAAAAAAAAAAAAAAAAAAAAAAAAAAAACACAAAACCATACACTGACAAATTCAACAAAAAACTTCAATAGCAGATTTGATCAAGCATAAGAAATCAATCAAGCCCAAAGACAGAACACTTGAAATTATTCACTCAGAAGAGAAGACAGAAAAAAGAACGCAGAAGTCTTTTGAGAACTATGGGGCAACATCAAGGGCACAAATGTTTACATAATGCGACTTCTAAAGGACAGAAAAAAAGCTGTAGAAAGCATATTTAAGGAAAGAGTGGCTTAAATTTCCCCACGTCTGGGGAAAATATGACAACATTCAAGTATAGAAAGCTCAGAGGTCACTAATCAAATTCAACCCACACAGTAGTTCATGAGGACAAAGAAAGGATACTGAAAGGAGGAAGGGGTAAGAAACATCATGTTCAAGGGAGCCCCAATATGGCTTTCTCAGCAGACATCTTCCAGGGAGAAAGGAGGATGAATTCAAAGTGCTAACAGGGGAAAAAAAAACCTGCCCACCAACAATACCTTACCTGGCAAAAGCATCCTTCAGAAATAAGGTAAAATTCTTTCCAAAAGCTAAGGGAGGTAAAGCCCTGCTGTACAGAATTGCTAAAGAGAATTCCTCACGCTTAAATAAAAGGTTAATAACAAAGAAAGAAAGAAAGAAAGAAAGAAAGAAAGAAAGAAAGAAAGAAAGAAAGAAAGAAAGAAAAAGAAAGAAAGAAAGAAAGAAAAGAAAAGAAAAGAAAAGAAAAGAAAAGAAAAGAAAAGAAAGAGAAAAGAAAAGAAATCCTCAATGGTAAATGTAATTAATGTACATATTCAAAATTCTAAATGGTACCTAAAGCAATTTTATCCCACTAGGAATGTTTAAAGACAAAACTATTAACTGTAGCTACAATAAACTGCTAAAGAGATACAAAAATGAATGTAAACTTTGACATCAAATCATAATTGTTAGGGATAAAAATTGAAAGTATAGAGTTTTATATGCACTTAAAGGCCAGCTGTAGTTGCTAATGGATACAGAGTCTTTGTTTTACATGAAGAAAAAGCCCCAGAGACGTGTTACACATACAGTTAACACTATACACTTAAAAATGGTTAGGGTGGTACATTTTATGTTACATATAACTTTTACCACAATAAAACCATAGATGATATGAAAGCTTCTTTTGTTTTTGTGGGGATTTTTTGTTGTTTTTGAGACACGGTCTCACTATGTAGTTCAGGCTAGGCTTGAGCTCAAATTGACCCTCCTGCCTCAGCCTCCCAAGTGCTGGGATGACAGGGGTGTGCCAACATATCCAGCAAAATTATGAAAGTCTGAACAGAAAAAAAGGTGTCAGTTTAAAGTAGGCTGTAATATGGGTAAATTATTTTATGTGTCATGGTGACCATAAAGCAAAACCCTACAGTAGTTGCATATAATGGAAAGGAGTCAAAGCATACCATCACAAAACCCATCATACTACAAAAGACAGCAAGAAAGATAAAACAAGAGAGCTAGAAAACAAAGCACAGAAAGACAGTAGCCAGTCCTTACCTATCAGTAATTACTTTGAAGAAAATAGGTTAAATTCTCCAATTAAAAACAAAGAATAGCTCAGCGGATAATATAAACAAACAAGGTTGAACTACACACATGCTTTGTTGAACTACCCCATGCTTACATCAGAAAAGCAGAGAAGTGAAAAACTAAAACAATAAAGGTCATTATGTAATAGCAAAGGAGCTAAGATGTAACACTCAGAGACACAAATGCATCCAAACCAGGAGCTCCTACATACCTAGCAGTTACTAAATGATCTGAAGAGAGGCACGCTACAGTAGTATTAGGGGATGTCAACATCCCATTTTCAACAGTGATCATCCAGACAGAGTATGAATAATGAAGCACTGGGGCTGGCCAGATAGCTCAGCAGATTAAAGCACCTGCTTAGGCAGACGCAGAGACCACAGGGACCGTGGTTCAACCCCCAGCCTTCAATGCTGGCAATGTCCCCACCCCCGGGGTGCACTGAGATAGCAACTGAGACCAGGTATGGTGGCACCGCCTGTAATCCCAGCGTTTGGGAGGCTGAAACAGGAGAATCACTACAAGTCCCTAGGTAGTGAGACCCTGTGACCCTGTATTAAATAGATAAAAATAAATAAATAAATAAATAAACAAACACTGAACTCAAGTTACACCATGGACTAAATGGACCAACAGATACACACAGCATATTTTATTCAACGGCCGCAGAATACATGTGCTTTTCAAGTGTACATACGACATTATCCAGGATGGAGTGCAGGTTAGGACAACAAAAGTTCTTACAAATTTAAAAGGACTCATGATATCAAACACCATTCAGAGAACAGTGGCACAAAACTAGCAAACAATGAACAGAGAAATCTTGGAAAACACACAAACATGTGGAAAGTAAACTACATTCCTAAATCTTGAGACACAGAAAAAATAAAAAGAAAATTTAAAATATCTTGATAGGAACGAAAATGGAAACAACATACTAAAGCTTTTGCAATGCAGCAAAAGAAATCCTAGAAGGGAAATTTGTAGTGGTAAATTTCTGTATTAAAAAGAGAAAGATCACAAATAATCTAACATTACACCTCTTGGAACTAGAAAAAGGAAAACAGCCCTGTTTGCAGTACGAAAGGAATAATAAAAACTAGAGTAAAAATAAATTTAATAGAGAACAAAACATAGGCAAATTTGATGAAACTGAGCTGGTGTTTTAAGAAATAAAATTCACATTTAGCTAGACTTACTAAGAAAAAGAAATACTCAAATACAATCAAAAATGAAAGGGACATAATTGACAGCCTGCAAACAAAGGCTCATTAAGAAACTCCCATAAATAATTACACGTCAACAAATTGGAAGGTGATGAGAAACTGATAAATCCTTAGACGATATAACCTACCAAGACTGAATCGTGAAGAAATAAGGAGTAAAGAGATTGAATCATTAATAAAAAGTTCCCCATTATAGAAAGTCCAGGACTGCACAACTTAACGGCTAAATGCTATAAAAAATGTAAAGATGATCTAACACTAATTTTTCTCAAACTTGTCACAAAATAGAAGTAGGGGAAATACTTCCAAACGCATTTTGCAAGGCTAGCCGCACACTGTTACCAGGCCCAAACAAGGATACTACAAGGAAAGCACAAGCTGGTATCTGCAATGAACAGAAAGTCTCAACAAAATATAAGCAAAGAGAAGTCTAGACTATATTAATAGAAGCATTCCCTATAATCAATTGGAATTTGTTCCTTGGATACAAGGATAAGT